GAACTCACAGAGATCCACCTGGCTCTGCCTCCAGAGTGCTGGGATTAAAACTCTCAACTTTTAACAAACAGATGGTTCCTATATGTTGTGAAAGTTGGGATTACTTGGAACAAGAGGGCCACGTCTGGTTAAAATCCTTTCTCCTTTTATGATAGTACTACTCTCTTAGCAGATTAAGAAAATATTGATGGATTTGAAAAGTAATCTGTGAGATCTTCATTTTACCACTGACTCTTTTCACTGTATATGACAGAATTAAATGGTTGAAGAGAGGAAAAGGCAATTGAAAGAGGTAATGCTTAAGGCACCGTCAAAGCCTTTGCTTGGTCTCCATCCTCTTCAACTTGTATCTTGGAAGGCACAGATGGTATTTTTATTAAATAGACAAATATCATAAAACCAAAAGAAATAGTTGACTAAATAACAAAATTTTCTTCACTGTAGCAATGACCCAAATTTAACACGTGCACAGGAAATGTGGCTCATTGATTATTTGCCCAGCATACATGTGGCCCTGGGTTCCACTTCACATTTCAAATAAATCAGTTAAACAACACAGTGAAATATGATAGTATAGCTGCAATGTGTAGTTTTCTGTTCTACCTAACCAACGCAAGATTAAAATTGACTTAGGAAAAAAGTATAATCATTTGTATTTGTTAGTAAGACAGGCAGCCACGATGAGCACTTACTTTATGCCAGGTGGTCTATGAAATACTTTATGCATAGTTTTATAATTTAGCCTTGGCACTGTAAGACCATCGTCACGCTGCTAGCAGAAGCAACAATAGCTAACATTTGTGGAGCGTGTCCTGAGTTCCAGCCCTCCTTCTGAGCATTTCACCCTAATTCTCATAATAACCCTGCAGAGTGTGCCCTGTCATTTTCCTCTTTGTGTCTGTGAGCAAATGGAGGGACAGAGTGGTGGAATCCCTTGCTAAGGACAAGCCCTGGGTTGAGCTGGGATCCATTTCAGGGTGATGGATTAGTGTGGAGCCAGCAGTCTAGTTCTTCACCCACTTTACTCTTTTCAGACAGAGGTCAGGAAGGTTAGAAAGCCTGGGGAACTTCGCTAAATTCCTGATAAGACGGAGGGCTGCCATTCAAACCCACAATACTGACTTTCTAGCTGCTTTGTCCTTTCTTTTTAACTGTTCTTCTGCACTACCTTCCTGCAGAAGGTATGGCCAGGTGTACTAATTATCTACTGTAATCTTGATAACAACCCTGTGAAATTGCATTCACTGACAGGAAGCTGCAAGTTATGAAAATCTGAAACCAGTTGCCGAGATTATGCAGATAGAATTTTGTTTTCTTTCTTTTGTTCTTTTTGTTCTGTTTTTTGAGACAAAGTCTGTCCTAGAACTCATTATGTAGCCCAGTTGCCTCCTGAACTCAAGCTCCTCCACTCCCGGCCTTCTTGAGAGCTGCGATTCCAGGTGTGCAGGACCACACTCAGTTAACAGGTTGTGAGCTGCTGAGTAGCAAATTCACAGAGCCCTTAAACATTTTGCCATGCTGACTGAGAAAGATGTGACAAAACCAGCAGCCTCGGTGACAAACAGAGCGCTTGCAAATTCAGTGTGAGGCGGTGATGTGCTGTTGGTGCGGACAAGGGGAGGCCACCCGACACGGCGATGCTACGGCCAAGGACTGCGTTCAGGGCAAGGGAGGTGGCTGTCCCGCTCTAGTGCTTATCAGCTGGCACACCTGGAGCATGTCAGCAAATACTTTACAGGAGGATGGGAGTCTGTCCCACACTGTGACGCTCATCCAGACGCGAGCTTGCCACACTGCAGTGTCTGAGCACTGAAGCCATAGGACAGCGGCCAACAAGCTGGGAAACTAGCCTCTCAAATGAGAAGACTTGTGAGGCCAACTAGCTAATATTTAGAATATCCCTCCACCCCCGACCCCCACCCCGAGGCGGAGGATTCCATGTATTCTTCATAGTTCCAGTGTGGAAGACTAGGTTGTATAGGCACAACAGCAAAGAAGTCGAGTTGGCTCCTTAAGAGGTCTGGCTGCTGTTTGGGGCTTTTTGGATATGAAATAGGCTTCCTAGTCAGAGAGTCAGCTCTTTTTCACCGTGGAAGAAACTGGTCACTATTTGCCGGTGTTAAAGACACCCCCCCCCCCACCTATGGAGTGGGTATATCTTTAAATACTTTAGAGAATAGTCTACATCTGCTATGGGGGAACCAGATGAGTCCTGGGAAAAGCTATGTGATTGTCCCAATGGAGAGCACCTGCGTGGGATGAGCTGCCAATCAGCACTGCCAGCCAGGCATATATGGAGTGGCCCAAACCTCACCAAGCAGGTGTGAGCAAGAGTTGACAACTAGTAGTATAGTTGGCTTTCTAACGCTGGCCCACTTTTTGGGGAACAAAAGAAATTTTTACTGGCAAGTGTAATGTGTTTTTTATTAATCTTAACTTGTAGTGTGCAGCTTTTGTAAGCCACGTTTTCCAACTGCAGTCCCCTGAATCCTGGGCTCTTTGTAAGTACATTCTTAAAAAGTGACTGCTGGTGTAACCTACTGTCCACATTAGCAGCTTCGTACTTAGGTTGCGTCTTGATTGCTTAAGTGTTTCGGACTTTTAGAAACATTGCTTTTCCTTTGGAAAAGTATGAGAACAGGAAGGTTGAAGAATAGGTGTTTGGTTTTGTTGTTGTGTTGATGTTAATTCACTGAGGACTCACTCCCTCTCCTAAGTTTAAGGCATATAAAATCCGCAGCCCACGTTGATGTATTGCTGATAAGTTAAATCTTGACCCCTCTGTGATCCCTTCTTGCTTTCTTTCATGGTTTCAGGTCTCCACACAGACTGCTTTGGAATCATGAGAGATGAAATTGCAACAGCAGTTTTTTTTGTCACGAGATTGGTGAAAAAACACGAGAAACTGAGTGCACAACAGATAGAAGCCTTTGCACTAAAGCTGATGACCATCTTGTTTGAAAAGTATCGAGGTCATTGGCACCCTGACTGCCCTTCCAAGGGCCAGGCTTTTAGGTGAGAGCTTGTGTGGCCTGGGGGAAGGAGCAAGCAGCCAGTGATAGACTCTGCTTGGAAAATGCAACATTTTTTTGTCTGTCTCCAAGCAAGAGACGCTTTATGAGCTCCTATTAATTTGTTTGAACATGGGTTTAAAATAAAGAGGTGTGATGTAGTTGAACACTAAAGACCTGTGAGGTGCATTACACAATTTGTCGTCTGTTTGCCATAAAAGATAGACCGTGAAATCTGGTGATTTAACAATGTGTTTTAATGTTATGACACCCATTCTGAGTCACCGTAGCAAAAGTTAATCAAGTTTTGTTTCCATTTGTAAGTAGGGAGGGGAGGGGAGGGTGAGGAGAATATGTGGGTAAGGCAAGGGCTGTACCCATGATGTGTGATTTCCTGCTGAAGGTCGGTCCTGTCAACATGCCTTCTTTACCCTTTTCCTCCTTTATATCCTCCTCAGGTGTATCAGGATAAACAACAATGAGAATAAAGACCCTATTTTAGAAAGGGCTTGTTCTGAGAGTAATGTGAATTTTTTTCACCTGGGACTTCCAAAGGAGTTGACCATATGGGTCGATCCCTTTGAGGTGTGCTGTAGGTGAGTAATTTTGTGGTTTGTGTGCTTGGTGACCCCTAGGAAACTGAGGTTGTTTAGTCAGCTCTATGTACCTTTGTGAAAGATGATACCCAGAGCATTGGCTTAGCAGCTGGGACACTGTTTGATCATGGTTTCAGATGTAAGCTTTTATTAGACAACACGCATTTCCATTAGGGATGGTTGAACTGGCAAGCACAAAGGCATGGCCGTGGGTTTGCAGTGTGACTTGGGTCATTACAACCTATTGCATATTGCAGATTTACAACTTTTAAGTACCATAGGAAACACCAGGAAGGTGGGGGAATCATTTAACATGGAGGACAATTCAGTCCATTAATTGATCCAAAAGGGTTGTTTTTTGGTTTGGGTTTTGGTTTTCCCTTTCTGACCAATTAAATGGAATAACTGTTACAGGATATGCTCAGTAATTGTAACATCCTAGTAGCTTCAGGGTATATTGGCCTTCAGTTTTCTTTTTAAAATAGCTTTTTAAAAGTTAAAGTTAGTATGGTGTCTCCAGACAGAGATCGTATTTGTGGGAAGTTGAGTTTCTGATGAATATTTTCTTTTCCTACTTAGGTATGGTGAAAAAAAGCATCCCTTTACAATTGCTTCTTTTAGAGGCAGATGGGAGAACTGGGAACTAGCTCAGCACATCAGCTATGCAGTTA